ACACACACACACACACACACACACACACACACACACACACACACACACACACACACACACACACACACATCCTTGTATTTGCATCAAAACTGAGGAAATTGTTTTGACATCCATTAATTTTTGTAACCGTATTTATGCCTAACCCAGACATTTTCCCTAAAATTAACCATAACTGGTCTATAGTTAACTCTAACCTGAACCAGAACTTAATTCACACCATAACACTAAACCGAACTAGTAAAGCACAGCAGAGCTGCAAACAAAGTGAGGACACTGAAGAGGTCCTCACTTTACATCAAAGACCTCACCTTGATAGTAACTGTTGTGCAAATGGTCCTCACTCTGTAGTCAAAACAAATACACACACTCTCTTACACACACAAGAAGTCCTCAACTAACCTATGAGCTCTGAATAAAAAAAACTTAACCATTTGCTTCCTTTCCAGGTGCTTAAAAACAACAATAGTTTTTCAGTTTTTTTAGCATGTTTTTTTATTGTTTTACCACAAAGTACAGATAAAAACATCCACATCATATTCTCTCACATTAATGGCCCAAACTGAAAGGATCTGAGGAGGCAGTGATACAAGACCAAATAAATAATAATAATAAAAAAGAAGTTACATGTTTTCTGCGTGCTCGTAGATCTAGTCGGCTGGACGGCATCTGTTTTTATGGATTATACTGTGTTTTGTGAATTGCTTCATAACTGAGTGACGCAGTCGTTCACAAGCAGGCCTAGAAATCAATGCAGATACAGCACAACATGGCTCTTTTTTTAGCGTTTTCAGGTCTTTTTTCTCCTCTTTTATTTCTTGGTTTTCGATGCAAGCCTGAGTCGACACAACACAATCCACACGAAGGGTATTTACAGATGGAGAGGAAGACGGATTAGAAAGGAGAACAGTTTATAAGTTTTGTACAACTAGTATAAAGTAAAATACACACATCGTTAAAATCACTAAAACGATTCATTTTCGTCCGTAACGTGTTCAAATATAAGAAAACTGGTCAGATTTTTCCTTCCAGACATTTTCAGGACTGAAACAGGAATTTACGCTTTGGTCAAAATAAGAAAAATCAGTTGAAGAAATCAGTTTTAGCCATAAAACAGGTGTGTGCGGTAAGTCTGTCGGAGGGCCCACGAGTGCTGCATTGTTGATTTTTCAAAGACAGAAGATATCAAACTCCGTCATTGGCTCTCGGTGTTTATCTGAGCAAACATTTCAACACAAAGCGAGGACACACAGAGGCTGCATGAGTGTTTAAAGCTGCTCTGTAATGCTGGGGACGAAGGAGTGCTGCTCGTCTTTAAGCAAAGAGATGTAAAGAGTGAATGAAAACCCAGCAACAACTCAAGTTTTAACGATCTAACTATCCAGATTTTAGATTGTTCTTTTAAACTCAACTCATATTTAACCAAAGTGGAAACCAAACCCAGAACTCTGGATCAAACTGATGATCCAACCTTGAAAACTAAAGAGTTGAACTGGTTCTAATCGGACCCAATCGAGGTTACAAATAGGGTTGTTTTTAATCAGGGGCGGAGCTAGAGGGGTGGTGCACTTGGTTGGCCACCCTCCAATGTTTGACAAATGGATGGGGATCTTGGATTTTGTATTTGCATTTAGATTTTAATAGATTGTTCTCTGATACTACTATACTAATTACATTTTCAGCTGTGTAAGTTTAAAAATGATTGACATATAGCCCTTTWTAAAATTAGCATTAGCATTAGTGGTTAGCTTAATTTGGGATTACCATTGACAATCGGCATGTGATCATTCTTAGCTACGCCAAAACAAATTTCATCTCAGTAAGTCTTAAAATGGCTGAACTATAGCCATTTAACGTTAGAGGTGGCGGCCATTTTGAATTTCTGATCCGCATTTAGAATTTGSTAAAAAATGTTTTCGGKTACTTRTGCACCAAGCTTCAGCTTTGSTGTCTAAAAATGTCCYGATAATAAGCTGTGACTAGCATTCAGCATGTTTGTTTTAGATCATTCTTTGTTACGATCACAAATTTTCAGCTCAGTATTTCTTTAAAAATTTGAAATTAGTGGTGGCGGCCATCTTGAATTTTTAAATCCAAAGTATTTTCTATTAATTGTACATGCCACCTTATGGCCACCCCTGTGCCACTCCATGCAAAAAAAGTCTAGCTCTGCCCCTGGTTTAAACCCAGTGGTTTTAACTGTGGAAGATAAAAGGTAAAATACTATAAAACCTGTGCAACAAAACTTTCCATTCTGCAAAACTGCATCCACATGCTTTAGAGACACTGATACATCTGACTTTTTAAAATTATTCCATTTTTCCACTTTAAATTAAGAAAAGTAAGGACAACAACAATGATGTTCTGTTAATCAGAGACTAAAAGTATGAATTTTCAACAATCCCTTCAAAAAAAATTAATTCCATTTTCACTTTAAGAACATTTCTTATGGTCCAGCACAATTATAATTTAAAGATCTTTGTTGATCCCACAGCACTGATTCAGATCATAAAACCAAAAACACAGTTCAGACTCTTTCATGGGACTTTTTTTTTTTCAAAATCCAAAGTCAAATTTTACAATTTAAACATTAAAAGGAGTAGGAGACAGGGAAATATAGGTACTCTCTGAAGAGGAGCTGCTTGCACACATCCAAACAAAATCTACAACACAGAACTTTTTTTTAATTTAATACTTTCCTTACAGAATATCATAGTTTTTAAAATGTATTTCTAGATGTGCATACCTGTAGATATTACATATATGTATATATTGCACAACATCTATATGTACATTTGAAATAAATATAATTAAATAAAATGTCTCTATTTTATTTTTAGGTTTTTTTTTATTTTTGCTCTTTGTCTCCTTGCTATAGCTTGTTTATTTTCTTTACTCCCTCACTGCTTTAGAAAAGAAGAAAAGTGAAGAATACAAAATAAAAATTTGCTGAAGAAATGTTTAAAAATATAGAAAGGCAGACTAAAAATGCTCTGATGAGCTATTAAAAGGAAATGCTTGTTAATTAATGGAGGTTTCGAGTTTAAATCGAGGAAATATTTGAAGGAAATGACAGCTGATTTCGGAGCATATTTCAGCCTTCTTGGTCACCAAAATTTTTATATATAGATATATCTTTTCAGGACATTAACTGACATGAAACAAAGAATTGTAAACTTTGGAAGGATTTAAATGGCACTCTGAGGATGCACGCCGTCAAATCCTTCTTCTAAAACTACACTGAGGATCAGGGAAACCACGGTCAACTGATGAAAGAGCAAAAAGGAGCAAGTGGGGAAAAGGTGATGAATAAGAATCCGAGGACCTGGGAGTCCAGCTGAAGAAAAGGGGGAAAAAAAGGACAGCAGGGAAAAGGGTTAAAGAAGAGAGTCAGCTTTAACATGCACAGTCCTGGTGAGGAGGGGCGGGCTGCTCTGTCAGCTGGGGCCCCTGTTTGGCCCCCGTGACTGCAGGGTCGCCAGCATCCAGGCTCTCGGACATCTTTTCACAGATGATGTCAACGAGGCGCTCGAAGGTCTGCTTCACGTTGATGTTGTCCTTGGCGCTGGCCTCGAAGAACTCAAAACCTGGCGGAGAAACAGGAACAAAGGTCAGACAAAAATCATTTCTAATGGAAAGATTGGCATAATTTCTGCTGCAGCTATTATCGGTTCCCAGAGGACATTTTCCCAGAATCTTCTTTGTTTTTGGCCCRGTCTTGAATGGAGGTTTTATCATGAATTGCACATTAGTAACAATTAAAACAAGGTGAACTTAAATTTGAGTCATCTGCAGGTTCCTCTTTGCTGCGCTTCAGCTCTGCCACCAAAGCTAAAGCTAACAGACGCAGAAGTTAAGTTGAACTCACCAAGATGTTCGGACAGCTGCCGGCCCCTGTCTGCGCCCACCACCCGCTCGTCCTCCATGTCACACTTGTTTCCTACGAGCAGCACCTGGGCATTGTCCCACGAATATGTTTTAATTTGAGTCGACCTGAGAACAAACACGGTCAGAACGGGAACTTAAAGTCTAATCACTGTAGTAAGCAGCGTGAAGTTTAACCAGCCACAACGTGGGAATAATTAAAATACAACCCCAAGTGCAATGAAGTTTGGACGTTGTGTAAAACATAAATAAAAAATAGCCTATTTTCACTTTAATACACACAAAGGCAAGATATTTAAAATTCAAATGGATACACTTTATTGGCTTTTACAAATATTGGCTCATTTTGAATTTGATGCCTGCAGCATGTTCTAAAAAAGCAACAAAAGAGTTGAAAGTTGAGGAATGCTCAAAAAACACCTGTTTGGAGCAACAGGTTCATTGGAAACAGGTGAGTGTCATGACTGGGTTTAAGGGGCGCATCCTCGAAAGGCTCAGATGTTCACAAGCAAGGATGGTGCGAGTTTCACCACTTTGTGAACAACTGTGAGAGCAAATAGTCCCACAGTTTAATGTTTCTCAATGTACGATTGCAAGGAATTTAGGGATTTCATCTTCTACAGTCCGTAATATCATCCCTGCATTAAAAACACACATCTTTCTGTAACAGATACTGGCACGTAGGCTCAGGAACACTTCAGAAAACCACTGTCAGTGAACACAGTTCGTCTCTACATCTACAAGAGCAAGTTAAAACTCTACCATGCAAACTCAAAGCCAGATATCAACAACAACCAGAAACCCTGCCGGCTTCTCTGGACCTGAACTTATCTGAGATGGACTGACACCAAGTGGAAAAGTGTCCTGTGGTCTGAAGAATCCACATTTCAAATTGTTTTTGGAAATCATGGACATCAGATAAGTCTGTTTGGGCTCCTTTGATTAGTTTCATCACATGGTGAGGGTGGGGGGTTTGGGATCGG